GCAAATAATCCAAATCAACCAGCCCATCTTATTTTGATACAAAAGGGCCCATTTGTTAATTGGACCCAAGCCCTTATTCTCCAGCATTCCAAAGGGCCTTTGGCCCCTTTCTCTTGAACTCAAAGAGCCACCGAGTCAGGAGGTGTTGGAGTCGGAGTCGGAGCTCAAACACCGGAATCAAGTCTTCGACTCTTGAACTGTGAACGGAGGAAGCAAACAAAACTGCTACAGTGACCTCCACAAACAATAATAAGCATTGAAGAAGATTCAGGGTTCGAGGGAAAGGTTTCGTTTTTTCAATGGAAGGCGGCAGCTTGGAGCAGACTCTGCAAGATGGGAAGCTCTACAGGCAGCTCAATTCCCTCATCGTTGCTCATCTTCGCGACAACAATCTCACCCAGGCAATGCCCATCCTCCAATCTTCTTTCTTCATGGATATTTTTGAAATGTCGGGGTTGGGGCGATTGATGCTTTCCATGATTTTTGTCTTCTTAATCACAGGCTGCAACTGCAGTAGCAGCGGCAACGTTGACACCCTTAAACGTCGAAGCCCCTCCGAATAAGCTGCTTGAGCTTGTTGCAAAGGTTCGTTTCTTTGGCTCTCTAATTGGGTGTGTGGATATTTGTTGGGTGAAGAAAAGAAGCTTTTAGTTTTAAACTGATAACAGGGTCTTGCAGTCGAGAAAGACGAGATTCAAAGAGGGGTTTCTACTTCTACAGTGTTTGACGCTGGCACTTTAGCTTATGGCTCAGTCCCAGCTTCCCGTGCCACTCGTGTTGATTTCAGGCAATTCCCTTTTGCTAGAAACCTTGCTCCTCTTTTTACTTTACTTTTTTGGGAACAGAATAAAAATAGAGGTGATTTCATAAAAAGAAAAGTGAAATTCAGAAACTCTTTTAAAATTATTCAAATAACCTTTATGAATCTTCTTTTGTGTTAATTTATTAAGGGTATTTTACTCTTTTTATTATTACTCTTGACATTTTAATTGCCTGTACATTCTGATTTTCCTCAATGGCTTTCATAAGTTACAAATACAAAATGAAATTGTGAAGTTAAAATTGTGGATTTTAAATTACTAATTTTTTAGATTTCAAACATAATGAATTATGGATTTTGGAATGAATTCCATAGATTTATAGAACCCATTTGTAACCAGACAGGCAAGCACACTTTTTGGTTTGATGTCATTAGCAGAGCTGTTTTGTGGTGTGCAAATGGCAACCAAATTTGCGGTTTCTTTTGAACTGTTTGTGACTGGATTTTATCTTAATTGGAATTGCTGAAAATTTTCATTTTTCTCTTGGTAAGGGGGTTGGTGCCTGAAGCACTGAAATAAGATGAATCAGAAATCATGCTACCATTCACATATATTGGCTCTATATAGCATTCCAGGCTCTCATATCTTGTTTACTGGTTTTATTTATTTTAAAAGAGATGAGACATTTAATTCTTATGTCAGATCCTCTTCCTGTTTCAGTAATAACTTCTAGTTGGGGTATAGAGAACAGGGCTGCCCATTTTCTTGTATTTACTTTGATATGCTCAACGATAATTTTAACCTTTGGAATATGTTATTAATAACTTCTTGGGAGGTGGGAGACAGACATGGAATGTTTACTGTTATGTGTCAATTCATAGTCTTAAGTTCAAAAGTCCTACCTTTAAGGGGGAAAACTCATAATTTCCTTTTATTGTTAAACCAGTGCTGTGCAGGATGCAAAAGGCTCATCGAAAAGCTTTGGAAAACACGAAACCCGGAAGCTTTCAGAGCACAAGGTATATTTATTTGGGAAAATGTAATTCTATCACATTTCTTATCTGATATTTTATTGAAGCTGAGCACTTCTAGCCAGTTGTTTTGAACATGCAGTTTGTACTGATGGGTAAAACTTTATAGAATGTTGCTAGGTGTGCAAGGTTTAGTCCTGATGGAAGATTTGTTGCCACTGGAAGTGCAGACACATCAATTAAACTGTTTGAGGTGATGGATTCTCTCAACTATATGATTAAGTCTTCTATGACATGAATTGTGGTTGACTCCTAGGTTATTTTCTTGCCATGCAGGTTTCAAAAGTTAAGCAAATGATGCTCCCAGATGCAAAGGATGGTCCTGTACGGCCTGTCATAAGGACCTTTTATGACCATATGCAAGTAAGTTACTGTTGGTTTTCAAACTGTGGATTATAATGCAAATTGTTATTGCAGTTATTTATGAGAAGAGACTTAAAGTATATTCAATTTCAATTTCCATCCTTATGTTGACTAGCACTTCTCTGATGTAAATGCAGCCAATAAATGATTTAGATTTCCACCCACAGAGTACTGTCTTGATATCTGGGGCAAAAGATCGCACAATAAAGTATGAGTTCTTCTAATCTTATTAATCTTAGTTTCAATTTATACGCCTCCATATCTTTTGTATTCTTATTACCATTTCCATTTATTTTCGATTCCGTGTAACCTATTTAATGTTAAATTTGCTGCACATTTTTCTCCCTTACCCCTTTCTCTCATAATACCCTTAAATTTACTATCTTTGGTGACATATGCTACTAAATTTGCAGTTTTATCTGGTTCTTTTTAATGCTTTACAGATTCTTTGATTTTTCTAAAGCTACTGCTAAGAGAGCCTTCAGAGTTATCCAGGTTTGAGTCTTGACTTGTTATTTGACTGCAGCAGTAATCAAGGTTTTTTCCTTGGTTGTAGAATTTGACTTGGGTATATGTTTACATATCATCATAGATTATTTGCTTGTAATGCCACAGGATACTCACAATGTGCGATCTGTATCATTCCATCCTTCTGGAGATTTCCTTATAGCTGGTAATCATTGGCCTCACATTTTCTGTGTTATCATTTTATCAATCTTTTTCCTGGTTGATTTTTCTTACAATATTTAGTTGTAGTTTCAATTGATGTTATAATAATTATATATTTATTTATACTGTCCTTTCATGATTATTTTAAGACAATTAAACTTTTAAGTTCTAACACTCCTGATGATGCAGGACGGTATAGAGAGAATTCAGGAAAATGTGATGGGAAAGCAGAGGAGGATAGGAGAGAGTAAATTTAGAGGAAAAGAGATGAGAAACTAGAACATTAGGGGAGCTCTAAATCATAAAGTTATTATTGCTAATTATAATGCACAGTATCCTCTACATACTAAAAAGCTTATATTCGCACTCTTAAAGAGAATAATTAACCCTAATAGAAATAGGATATTGGATACAGGGAACAAATAGAAACATAGATAATATAATTCATAATCCTTCCTAGGATTCTTCCATGACTGCATACCTCATATTAACCTAGAAAGTTAATTTCATTTTTTTTGTTAGTGACCTTTTATTTTATTTTGCTTTGAAGCTAATTAGAGCATTCTTGTGAATATAGTGATTGGTAAACATTATATCAGAGCTGCATTTCATGAACACTACAAGACGATAAAGCAGTAAAGCTAATAATTCTTGGCTAGTTTGGATTGAAAAACTCATCTGCATGCATTTTTCTCTACCTCAAACTTCAAGTCATGCATGTTTGTTCAATGGAGATTTGATCGGTACGCTTGCTCGTTGTCAATACTGTTTTCAAGATCTTTTCTTTATAATCAGTTCATGTGATGAAGCTAGACATTTATCACATCATGTTGGGAAAGAAACAAAAGATGAGAGAGAAATAAAAGCCAATTTATTTACAGGGAAACAAGGTGACTTCAAAATGAAGTTCTAGGCAGACTGGATTACACCAAATCTCAATCTAATTGAAAAACGAGTTCTGTAATCTGTGTATAAAAAAACAAAGGCTTGAATTATCTTAATAGTAATTTAGTATATACTTTTTTATGTTGAATTATTAGATCATTATGAGTTAAGTTGTTGAATTAATGCTGATCCATTTTCCTTTTTATGGTTAGTGTATGATGAAAGATCTTTAATGTGATTTCACTACTGATCAAGTTAGGATGTGAAACTCACAGGAACTGATCATCCAATAGCCCACTTGTATGATATTAATACCTTCCAATGTTACCTATCTGCAAATCCTCCGGAGATTGGTGTTAATGGAGCCATAAATCAGGTACTGTCATTTTTCAAGTTCATCTTTTTGTTAAAGATAAACCGAGACCATGAAATCTATTTTGCTATGCAGGTGAGGTATTCTTCTACGGGTGGAATGTATGTAACAGCATCTAAAGATGGTGCTATTCGGGTATGGGATGGAGTTACTTCCAGTTGTGTGCGCTCAATAGTGGGTGCACATGGAATGGCCGAGGCCACAAGTGCAAGTTTTACAAAGGATCAAAGGTGTGGTTGACTTGTTATAGAGTTGGTTGAATGATGTCTTATGGTAATCAAATGACTTAATGAGATATTTTTAGAGATTTGTAGATGAAATGACTCATGTATTGCAGATTTTCAGTATCTGCTCTACGTGTTTCATAATTTAGACTTGGGTTAAGTTTGTTGACTGGTGCTGTTGTCTTTACTACACATTTGGCAGTCTCCATTACTGTTGTGGTCTTCTTACCATATAGTAACTGATCTTTTGTTCTTTACTCTATGAGATGCAAGTTACAGCCTATCTTTTGTTTTTCACATAGCACCAAATGGAAAATCAAATACCATTTATGAAATGCAAGTTACAGTTTTTGAAGTTACAGTTTTTGAAGGATTTACATTCCCGAGGCACAAACTTTTTTTAAATATCAATTGCTTTCATATGTAATGTGTATTAGAGCCTAGGATATTGCTTGCCAATATTGGATTTGGTTACCTTATATGGTCAGGATATTGACATGTCTTAAGCAACATGACTGAAATTTCAACTTTCTAGGTTTGTTCTCTCCTGTGGGAAGGATTCTACCGTGAAGCTTTGGGAGATTGGCACTGGAAGATTGGTCAAACAATATATTGGAGCTACTCATACACAACTGCGGTGTCAGGTATGTTAACATGTCATTCCTTCTGGTTAGGAGTCCATGCTGACTGTTGCATTGATTGAAATGCAGATAAAACTGCTGCTAGTTCACTTCTATCAGCTACATATATCAGATAATATTAATTGCCTTCCTGCTAGGATAGTAGGATGCCTTTTTGTAATATGTTGTTGCAATGGAGGTCCCATTGCCATAGATGTGAAACATTAAGTTAGTTTTGACAGATTCAATAGCTTCTCAACAAACTTGGTGTTTAAGTTGACTCTAGAATGTTTAAGGTAGCACCATAAGCTATTCTGTTTTGTCTGGCAATAAGAATAGGGATCTGTTAGTCTAAAGCATAGAATATCAGTAAATAGAAATAAGATGAAGGTAGAAAATATTCAGTCAGTAATTCCTTTGATCCTTTAGAAAAGTGGGAGGACTGCTTCATATTTTGCTGTTTGCTATGCATCCTGTCCATCTTTCTGCCAGAATGTGGGGAGTCCAAATTTTCTTTTCTTATCATGTTACAAAATCTTTATGTTGACTCAACATCACCATTGATTATAATTCCATTGGAAACTTAAATACAGAATGTGGGGAGTCCAAATTTTCTTTTCTTATTATGTTACAAAATCTTTATGTTGACTCAACATCACCATTGATTATAATTCCATTGGAAACTTAAATATATTTTCTGCAGGCTGTTTTTAATGATACTGAAGAATTTGTACTATCCATAGATGAATCAAGCAATGAGGTTTGTTCATTTCTTATGCTATACTGCAACACCATACTTCTTTCTTCTCGTCTCACTATCAAATCTGTGATGTGTGCAGATTGTTATTTGGGATGCTTTAACTGCAGAAAAGGTGGCAAAATGGTCTTCCAACCATGATGGTCCACCCCGGTGGATTGAGCACTCATCAACAGAGGCTGCCTTCATATCATGTGGAACTGATCGATCTGTCCGGTTCTGGAAGGAAGTTCTGTAAGCAGATGGTATGACAGTCAACATATTTCGTGGACTGGACAAGTATGGGATCGAGTGGCCATGCTGACATGGTAATGCAGAATTCTTGAATGCTCAGCAGACCAGCTAGAATTTGTTTTGGAGTCTCAGGAGGCAAATTTTCATTATATGTCCCCCAAGGTGCATTCAATCGCACATAATATCTAGTTTCCAAGAAATTAGTTGTCTTTTTGACTAAACTCTCCTATAAAAGGAAAATGGGGGAATGTTTGGATGACAGGCTTTCCTTACAAAGGAATTTCTATGTTTATATGAAGAGTAAGATATTGTTTTTCATGCTTTGCCACAATATGAGGAGTAAATATTATTTACATTCCTAACCTGGCATGTCTTTTAGTTTTGTCATTAACCTTGCTGATTAAGGTATGGTTTCACAGTGCATTTTCCCAAACCCAAAAATTTCAATATTCTCAAATCTGAATTTTCCTGTGCCAAAAATTAACGATTAACACATGATCTAAGTAAATTATCAATGGAATCAACAATTATCCTCTACTAATAAGCTAAACGTAATTCACTTCAACGTAAGCATGAATTAAGAGCTCATGCATGGGCACATAATCTCAAGTTCCACCAATTGCGAGATAAAAACTTGGTACCTGTACCTTTTCTATGGCTTGGAAGAGTTCAACCTCCTATTGACATGCCTTGCCATGGTCCTTGGTGCTTCTGCACTTTAAATATATATATATATATATATATATTTTATCGTTAATATAGAACAAAATGGGTAAAAGAAAGCCTCAATGAGAATAAAAATAAGATAGAAAATTATTAAAAGGAATTTATTTTTTAAGGATTTTTTTAAGACACAAAAATGAGTTTACTTGCTTTCTAAGACAATTAATATTTTTGTTTATAACTAATTCAGTCAACATTAATACTCCTAATTCAGTCAACATTAATACTCCTAATTCAGTCAACATTAATACTCCTAGTTCATTTAGGATTTAATCAATTAATTCTATATATATTTTTATGAATCAAACCCTGATGCGCATCTTGTATTCCCTTCCATTCTTTATCAATTTTCTCTCCTAATTTCTTGCCTCAACCATCATCCATACCTAAATTTTCTGCTTCTACAGTTCTACCCATCAAATATGGCTGGCCCTGTTTTCGGATTCCATCCTCACAGTTTTTGCAACCCTTCTGATCACTGTGTTGTTCCTCTCGGAACACAAAAGGCGGTGCGACCCGGAAGAGGACCCCTCGTTTATCGCTTCAAAGTACCGCCGACTTTCAACATCGCCAACGTTCAAGCACCGGTGAAAACTCATGCACCCAGCACCACAGACGTGAAGGGAAAGGATGTCGATGCAATTGCAAGCGGCAGTAGTTCCATGGGTGCGCACTCTGTTAGAAACACCGACATTACTCCTATCCTTTCGGCCCAAAAGCCGAATATCGCGGAGGAGGTAGCTGTCCCCGTCATGCCGGTTGAAAGAAAACGGCGCCACATCATCCGCTTGAAGTTAGCCTCACCCAAGAACACCACTGCTGAAGCAGCGGTGAAAAAGGATCAAGAACCGGCCGAAACGCTCCAGAGCACCGGAAGTGTGACAGTCGGAAAGGTTGGGTCGACTGCAGTGAACAATAAAGCAACCAGTAGCAGCTCTCCAAACGGAAAAGTTGTTCATCAAGACAGAAGGACTGGAGAGCCGATGAAGAGTACTCCTAACGGACTCAAGAATAAAGCATCGGTGCCAGAGGGCAAGTATGAAGACAAGTTTGAGGCTTCAAAGAGAAAACTTGTAGAACAATACAAAGGAATTCAAGACAGCAGGAAGAAGATCAGGGTGATCGAACTCAAAGATCTTCCCAAGCAAGGCACTCGCTCTGGTGCTCCTGCGCCGCTGACTAAAAAACGGATGATGAAGACCAAATATGGTGGACGATATTAAAGCGAAGGGACAGTAGGGACCTTCATGGAATGAATTCATTATTTTTTGATTTGTTATAAAGTGTACAAAATTATAGATATATTGCATATGCATTATATATTACGATTTGAACTACTTTTTCAGTACTGATATAATGTTAGGAACGCAATGTAATTAAAGAGCATGTCCTCATATAATGAATGAAATACAATGAGAATACCTGTTTTTATGGACTTCATGTTTTTCTCTAGTTTTCTCTATTCCTGTTCATCTCTCCTTGATTTCTTCTCTTGTTTCTTGCTTCTGAGCTCCAACAGTTCAAGATAAACCGAGACAGTCAAGTCTTGGATTCAATCTATATATTTTGCTATGCAGGTGAGGTATTCTTCTTCTGGTGGAATGTATGTAACAGCATATAAAGATGATGCTATTTGGGTTTGAGATGGAGTTAGTTCCAGTTGTGTGCCCTCAGTAGAGGGTGCACATGGAACGGAACAGGCCGCAAGTGCAAGTCTTAGGAAGGATCAAAGCTGTGGTTGAGTAGGTATGGAACTGGTTGAACAACGTCTTATGGTAATCAAATGACATAATGAGATTTTTTTAGGGATTTGTGGATGAAAAAACTGATGTATTACAGATTTACAATATATGCTCTAGATGTTGGATAAATTAGAATTAGGTTGAGTTTGTTGACTGGTGGTGCTGTTGTGTTTACTAAACATTTGGCAGTTCCATTACTGTTTGGCCTTCTTATCAAGTAGTAACTAGTCTTTCCTTCTTTACTCTATGAGATCCAAGTTACAGTCTATATCTTTTGTTTATCATATAAAACCAAACAGAAAATCAAATACCATTTATGAAATGAAGTTACCATTTTTTGGGAATTGCATTTAACTATAGATTGTTTTCACAAGTATTGTGTACAAGAGCCTAGGATATTGCTTGCCAATATTGGATTTGGTTACCTTATATGGTCAGGAATCAGGATATTGCCATGTCTTAAGCAACATGACTAAAATTTCAACTTTCTAGGTTTGTTCTCTGTGTGAAGCTTTGGGAGATTGGCATTGGAACATTGGTCAAACAATACGTAGGAGCTACTCATACACAACTGTGGTGTGGGGTATGTTAACGTGCCATTCCTTTGGGTTAGAAGTCCATGCTGAATGTTGCATTCATAGAAATGCAGATAAAACTGCTGCTAGTTCACTTTTAGCAGCTACATATATCAGA